AATTAAGTCTAGAAGTCTTCTGGCAGAGTCTTTTGAGTCTTCTGTGTAAAGTATCATATCGTCAGCAAAGTGCCTCTTTCATTTTTTGCTTTTCCCACCCCTTCCTTTATTTTTTTTTATTGCTTTTAATCTTTATTCCTATTTGGCCTTTTACTTTATGTTATTACTGCCATTTCTTTTCTGTGCTAAGAGTGGCATAGTTGCTGCTTTTAACTGGTCACTGCCATATGTCACTATCTGGCTTGCCCTGGTTTCATCATCATCACTGCAGTTTCTTTTCTCCTCTCTGCGTGGTTCTGGGGACAAAGCCCTCAAAAGAAGGCTGGTCACTAATAAGCAGCTTGCATAAAAGTGGAGGAGGTATCCGCCCTGAGAGATGCGCAAATCCTAACACAAACAAGGCAAGGTGAGGCCTTCAAAGTCCACACGCCTCAGTTACTAAAGACAAGCTGTCAAAATAGATGAAATGCAAGAGAAACAATGCAAAGCAACTGACTTTAGAAGGACTGGTGACTTCAAACAGGATATAAATAAACAGCTGAATAAATTAAGGAAGGCAATGAAAAACATGGAGGAATTTAACAAAGAGATAAGCCATTCTTAAAAAGAACTGAACAGGAATCTTGGAAGTTAAAAGATCATTAAGTCAGATTAAGAACTCTGGGAAACCCCTAATCAATGGACTGGATAAAACAGAAGACAGAATTCTGAGCTTGAAGACAAGGCTGATGAATTATTACAAACAGAGCATAATAAAGAAAAAATTGTCAGAGAAGAGGAACAAAATATCCAAGATCTCTGAGACACTATTAAAAGACCAAACCTACAAAATTTTAGTGTAGAAGGGAGGAAGGAAGAGAGGAAGGAAGGATGGATGTGGATGGATGGATGGATGGATCTACTCAGTGAAATAACACCAGAAAATGTCTCAAACCTTGGGAAATATATGGACATCTAGGTACATGAGGCACTTAGAACCTCAAACAGGCATGACCAGAAAACACCCTTCCCACATCAAGTTACAGTTAAAAGGTCAAGAGTACAAAATAAGGAAAGACTATTGAAAACTCCAAGAGAGAAACAGCAAATCACTTGTAATGATGTACTTGTCAGAATAACTACAGATTCCTCCACTGAAACTCTAAAAAGCCAGGAGACCATGAAATAATGAATTTCAAGCCCCAAAAGAAAGTAAGTGCCAAGACAAATTACTATATCCAGCAAAGCTATCCTTCAGTATTGAGGGAGAAATAAAGACCTTCCAAATAAGCATGCAAGGAATTTATGACCACTAAGCCAGCACTGCAGAAGATACTTAAAGGAATTCTACATACAGAAGAGGAGGAGTAGATAAGCAAATGAGAATTAGGAAAAAAACAACAAATAACAGGAATTAGTATCTATCTTTTTACATTAACTCTGAATGTAAATGGTCTTAATTCTCTAATTAAAAAACACAGACAGGGGCCGGGGATTTAGCTCAGTGGTTCTGCCACCTGCCCTGCAAGCAGAAAGACCAGAGTTCGATCCCCAGTTTAAAAAAAAAAAAAAAAAAACAGACAGGGCTGGGGATTTAGCTCAGTAGTTCTGCCACCTGCCCCACAAGCGTAAAGACTCGAGTTCCATCTCTGGTACCAAAAAAAAAAAAAACCACAGACAGGGGCCAGAGATTTAGCTCAGTGGTTCCATCACCTACCTCGCAAGCACAAGGTTTTGAATTCGATCCCTGGTACCAAAAAAAATCAAAACAGGCTGGCAGACTGGATTTTTAAAAAGGCCCAACCCTTTTCAGTCTCCAAGAAACATACCTCATCACCACAATCATGCACAGATGGAGAGAGCAAAGGGATGTAAAACAGTATTCCATGCTACACCCGTATATAACAAAGATGACAAAATTAGTCAAAAAGACAAAAAAAGGCCAGTACATATTGGTAAAGGAAGCAATCCACTAAGATATAAAAATATATACACTGAACACTGTTATACCCGATTTCATAAAACAAACACTACTAGACATAGACCCCAATACAATTATAGTGAGTGCCTTAATACTCCACTCTTACAATAGATAAGGTCATCCAAACAAAAAACCAATAGATGCCCCAGCCCAAAAGAAGATATCTCAATAAAAAGACGATCTGACAAAAAAACAAAAACAAAAACAACAGACACATAGAATTAAACTATGCCATACATCAAATGGATTTAACAGGTGGTTACAGAAGATTCCATCCAACAACTGCAGAATGAGACAGAAATCAGGAAAATAATACCATTTGTAATAGCTTAAAAAAATAAAACCTGAGAATCAACCTAACCCCAAGTGAAAGACCTCTACAATGAAAAGTACAGAACAATGAAGAAAGAAATTCAAGAAGACACTAAAAGATGAAAAGACTGCTCATGTTCATGGATCAGCAGAATTCATGTTGTTAAAATGGACCTATCACTCAAAGTAACAGATTCAATGCAATTCCTATTAAAACACCAATGGCATTTTTCAAGTAACTAGAAAAAACAATCCCAAAATTCATATGGAAACACTAAAGACCTAGAATAGCCAAAGAAATCCTGAACAAGAAGAACAATCCTGGAGGCATCCCAGTTTCAAAATATACTATGAACTCACAACAAAAAAGCATGGTACTGGCAGAAAAACGGGCACAGAGACAACTGGAATAGAATAGAGGACACAGAAACAAATCAATGGAACTACACCATCTAATTCTTGGTAACATACATTTGAGAAAAGACAGCCTCTTTAATAAATGGTGCTGGGAAAACTGGATATCTATATGTAGAATATCTAAACTAGAGCTTCCTCACTTCACACAAAAATCAATTCAAAATTGATCAAAGACTTTAAAGACCTAAAACTTTGAAACTGCCAGAAGAAAACATAGGGGAAGCATTTGAAGTCACAGGCCAGGCAAAGACTTCCTGATAGCACAGGAAATAATAGCAAGAATCAACAAATGGGCAGGCTTACATCATATTAAAAAGTTCTGAACAACAAAGGAAACAATCAAGAGTGAAGAGACAGGGCCGGGGATTTAGCTCAGTGGTTTTGTCACCTGCTGTGCAAGTGCAAGGACCTGAGTTCGATCCCCAGTACCAAAAAAAAAAAAGAGTGAAGAGACAGCCCATAGAATTGGAGAAAAATCTTTGCTAGCTATCCTTCTGACAGAGGATTAATGCCTAGAATATATAAAGAATTTAACAAAGAAAGGAAGGGAGAGAACCCCCAAATAACACGATCAATAAATGGGCACATGAATGAAACAGGCACTTCTCAAAGGAAGGAGAAATGGCCAACTGAGTATATGAAAAACTGTTCTAACATTTTTAGCCAATGGGGAACTACAAATCAAAACTACATTGAGATTTCACCTCACCAGAGTCAGAACGGCTATCAAGTACATACACACACACACACACACACACACACACACACACACACACAATAAATGCTGGCAAGGATGCAGGGGAAAAGGAAACTTCATACACTTCTAGTAGGAATGTAAATCAGTAGGAATACTGGTAGGGCGATTCCTCAGAAAACTAAAAATAGAACTACCTTGTGATCCAACTACACCACTCCTTGGTATATACAAAGCTATAAAAGTAAGCAAAATTATGCCAACTGCAGAAAAATGGATGGAACTGGAGATCATCATGTTAGGCAAAGTAAGCCAGACTCAGATAAGTATCATATGTTTTCACTAATATGTGGAATCTAAAAGAAGACATGAGAGTAGAAGGGATAGACAAGAGGAAGTAAGTGAGGGGTAAGAGGACGTGAAGGTAGAGAGACACATCAGGAAACAATCATGTTGCCACAGCACAATGAGTAAAGTGCAGAGGGGGGAGAGTGAAGCCAGGAGTGGTGGGAGTGGGGACAGAAAGGTACTGATGTGGGCGGGGAAAGGTAATAGATACTGAGGCCCAAAAAGAGGCAGTAGGGATAGGGGAAGTTGAAGAAATTAAGATATTTAGGAGATGAAATAACCAAACTTAAAAATGAGTATGAAAATGGGAATGAGGACAGGCAAGGATGGAGGATGAGCTTGGGTTCCTGGCCTGAAGAGCTGAGGGAAACTGATTCCATTCACCGAGTCACTGGGCTCTGGGTATCTGCACCCACTTCATGCTCTGCCGAATGCCTCCCCACCGTGCACATACTCCCTAGGCTTACAGCAGGCTCCAGCTCACTCCCATGTTTTCCTGCCCCCAAGCTGACACTGCCACTCGTCCAGAGTCCCAGTTCCTGTCAGTGGAGGGGAGCTGGAAAGCCAGGATCTCTGCTAGGAGTAAGTCCTTTTATAGTGGGGCTGCTCCAGACCCTCTTCATGAGCACAGCCAGGATGTACATCCACACACATGCAGACCTTTCTATTTGTATTTACTTCTATGAGTATACATATATTCACAACATTCAGAATTCACACTGAAAGCTCTAATTCCAACCCTTATTTTATAGCTCCCTTCACTGACAGAATCTAGCTTTGATTTTTCTCAGTAAATCGTTCAATTCTGTGCACGTAACCCATCCCGCACTTCTCGGAGCTGCCTGCTGTCCTTGCGTGGCACCATTACTGCTTCCAACTGACTTCTGGATGGAGTGAAGGGAGGCCAGGGAGAGGGAGGGAAAGGTGACAAAGGGAAGGAAGGATTAAAAGAAATTATTTCTAACAACTCACCCAATGTAAGAGTCTAGCTTCTACTTTTTGTGACCATCAGACAACCATTGCCCCTACTACCACACATTTTTTATTTCTTTTTTGAGACAGGGTCTCACTGTGCAGTTCAGGCTGGCCTTGAACTCACAGCAATCCTCCTTCCTCAGCCTCTTGAGTGCTGGGATTACAAGCATGTGCCACCACACCTGGCTCACAATTTGTTTTACTGTCATTTAACAAGACAAAGAAACAATGGCCTCAACTCATGTAAATATGTGCAACTAAAGGGAATAAATACTATAAAAAATTTTGAATTACCCCTCTAGCAGCAAGTTCCATTTCAGTACTATCCCAGTGATCAGTCTGCTCTAAAAAATGTATCATTTCATCAAAAACATCTTCAAACTTCTTTGGATTCTGCAGAAAAAAACAAATTTTCATTCTTAACTCAATTTTATAAAAAGTAAGTTATTCTCCAGGTAAGTTTGCTGGACTGTATTCTCTCAGGTAAGTAAGTGAATCAGAATACATTTTCGAGATATACCAAACTTCTTTCATTTACTCTTTTGTTGTTCCCATATATTGCAGAAGCCAAGAACATTAGCAGAGGTCACAGCAAACGATGACTCTGATAGTCCCCTGTGTAGGCCAGTCCTTCAGTGAGACCTGGCACCACACACACCAGAGACAATCTCTCCTGCCCCACTGGGAATCGAACTCAGGACTTTGTGCATGGGAGGCAGGCGCAGTGCTGCTGAGCTACATCCACAGTCCCCTAGGGACGCTTCTGATGCTCCCTGCAAGGACCGACTCCCATCCCTGGGTTTGTCTGCCCAGGAAAGCCAAGAAAGCAGTGTAAGCTTTATGGTGGGAATTGTGAGTCCTTACTACAACCTTTTACTACTTCAGACTTTAAGTTCCTTTCCCATTTATCACTTAGTCATCTTAACACTCTCTGAAATAACACTAATACCATTGTATGAATGAGAGAACTGAGGTTCAAGGGTCTGGACTGGAAAACCAGGTGCATGGATGGCTCCGGGAAGACCTGTTTTGTTCTCATCATCTGGACCAAACTTGCATAAAGTAAAGTGGGTCCCCACAGCCTGAATCGAGCTCCTGCCCTTGCTTCTACTTCTGTCAGACCCATGAAGGTGACTAAGAGGCAGCTCAGTTTGTATTCCAGATTTCTGATCCCACTGTGACCTGTAACCCTCTTCCCCAACAAGGTTCAGGGAGGTGACAGCAGTGTAACGGAGGTGGTTACAGTAACAGTGATGCTAGTGATGGATTCTCACCATGACATTCACAGATTTCATGGCATATTGTGAATAATTTATGAGAAGCAATTGCCTCAAAGGGTGTGGACTTTATATACAGAAAAGAAACCTAAGAAGAAATCAATGCTCTTTGTAGCTATCTACTCAAACTTTTTCAACTATTAAAAATGTAATGCATTTTAGCCTTCAGTTAAGCCAAAACAATAAAAGACTTGCTAACAAAACAAGTGTACCTTTCGTGCTTTGACAATTAAAGCTGATAAAATTTTCCTTCCACTCTCAGCCAGGAATATCCTGTTGGATGTTTCTGAAAGAATTACCTAAAAAAAATCCATTTTCAAACAGAAGTAAAAAGATAGGTACAGGCATCTGATCGGCTGGCCAGCTTTATAGCACATCTACACATAAATCTCGAAAACAGTCTGCACCACATGCAGTGCTATGTCAACTGGCGGATCACAGAGAAAGCACAAATTCATTAAAGTATAAAGAGCCTCAAACTTATAATAAAAAATTAAAAGGAAGTGATTTTAAATTTAAATCTGCTTAACATAATTAGAAAACCTAAAATAAATTTTATATAGCACCAAAACATAAAACACATTTATTTCCTTTTTAAAGGAAATCAATAACTTTTGTTTTTCTCAAATTAAAACAAAAACTAAATTACACACTAATAACAAAGAAGATTTTTTTTTTTACAAAGAAGATTTTTAAGCAGCCATTTTTACACACCTGTAACATCAAAATATTGTTGTTTTTTTGTACCAGAGATCAAACTCAGGACCTTGTGCATGCAAGGCAGTTTCAATGCCACTGAGCTAAATCCTCCGCCCCAAAATATCCTGTTTTTGACAAAGTGTGGGGGCCTTGGGAAGCCACAGGAAAGGACAATGACAAATGGAGACAAAGTAGCAGGAGGGCAATGCACTTAGGCACCGGGGGTACAAAGGCAAGGTGCTGTCCAGGTCCTGGGCAGGGCTCACACAGAAGGATGGAGATGAGCAGGAAGGAAGGCCACTCGGGGTAAAAATACCTGAAAAGCCTGTCGAATACAATGAAGCTTGGCAAGAAAGTCGCTGTCTCCAAGGCATTCCAACATTTCAGTTCTGTGTAATAAACAGGAGACAACTGTTAAACTTCACTCAGGATCCACCCTACTGCAAATCTGGACTCACAAAAGGTTTAATCGCAAGACCTTAATAGAAAACATATGTCTACTCCATCCTCGCAGAATACGTACAAATGTTTTCTTTTTTACTCAGACCAAAACCATATTTCCCCTATTCTCATAAACACAATTTAATCAGTATCACACAAACATAGCAACAGCACCTCACTATGTTTCACGACCATAAGCAAAACTGGCATGGTACCTCAGCACTCTGGAGTGAATTTTTCCTTCTTCAACTAAATGCATGGCTTCTTCATAAAATGGGCAGCGGCAGAAAGACTCCAGGCTGTAGGTCTGCCGTGCTTCTCCGTGTTCTGCAAGCTAAGAATGCGTCGAGTTAACACAGACTACGCTGGCAGGAGCCTGTCATAGTATCTCCCTATTATCAAGACTCATGAAATTGGACAAAACCATAAAAATCATCCATTACCATTCTGGCGCAAATAAAACCTAACTTCTTTTTAGGTCAGAATCCACTTGTTCAAAAGAGAACTTTGTAACAAGCTTAGTTCATTTGTAATCCAACTACTTAAATCCACAGGGTGCACAAAACAGCAATCATCTTATTGTTCATCAGTAAGAAGAGCTGAAGAGGAAGCATAGGGGGAGGTTATCATCCACGGAGTACTTAGTAGTATTAACTCATTAAGCAAAACTTTCTAAAAAATCATGAAAATAAGCTCAATTTAGCTATTCCATCTTATCTGTAGCTTTGATTAACCTTTGTCAGACTGTTCTTGGTATAATCTCTGTATAGCCAGCTCCTCTGGCTAGTAGAGCAGCCCTAAGAATAGACAAGACCTTGCTCTGAGGTCCAGGCTGGCCTTGAACTCATGATCCTCTTGCTTCCCCTCAGCCCTGAGTGCTGGGACTCCAGGCCTGCACCACCACGCCTGGCTAGGATTCCAGTCCTCTAACAGAACCTTACAAACAACTGCAGACCCTACTGAGGTCCCCAGTCGCATGGAACACACGCCGAATCAGCCCGCTGCAGACAGGCAGGTCTGTGCACGCCCTACCGACGTCCTGAGTCACCCGCAAGACGCCGAATCAGCCCGCTGCAGACAGGCAGGTCTGTGCACGCCCTACCGAGGTCCTGAGTCGCGCGGAAGACACCAAATCACCCTGCTACAGACAGGCAGCCACCTGATTCCACACTACAAAGACGCAGAGGACTCCAGACCACCAGACCAAGGTACTGAGTCCCACTGTTCCCGGCCCAGAGGTAGGGGCTTCTGATCCATCGTCCCACTGCTCCTGGTCCAGAGGA